GCCAACCCCGTGGGAAAAAGGGGGGAGAAAAGTAGGAAATTTAAAAAAGATTTTGAAGGGTTTGGGCTAACCCCGAGAACCTATGCCATTTTGGAATCCTTTCCTACTTTAAAATTAAGGAAATGTTGCAAGGGGGTTGAACGAAAACCCTTTATAGATTAAAATCACCCTGACAAGCTGTTCAAGCCGTGCTTGGGACTATTTTCAATGAAATGTTATGGCCCCCATTTTAGGAAAGTCTTGAAGGAACGGAGGTCAGATTTAGGGACAATTTGTTTGGGACAGAGGTCCAGTGACTCTCAAGCTTCCTAGTGGCATTAAAAGAAGAAGGGAAAAACCCCCAGAAAAGGACTTGCTCCCTCAACCCTAAGGAAGGGGTTTCCCCCTTCTAAACAGAAAAGATTCTCCCCCCCTCCTCCCATCCCATAAATCTCACCAATCTTCAATAAAATAAGTGTCATGTAATTGTGCATGCCTTTTCATTTGTGTTTTTAAAAAATTAACATTTCATGTGTAAAAAAAATTTTTTTATATTTTTTGGGCGTCTTGAGGGGATTAATTTTTTTTCCCATTATTTCTTAGGGAAAATTTTATTCGCATAACGATTTTTTGCATAAAAAGATGACCCCCCTTGCACCCGGGTTTAAAACGTTAACCGGGGGGCCACTTATACGTAAAAAAGGGACCCAAAGACGTAATATACGGCCGAGACAGTCAAAGGTTAAGTGAAAAAAATAACATTGGCCAAAAATGGTTTCAGTTTATCTTTAAAACCCTTTAAATGTCCAAGCAATTTACGTTCACATGCGTAGTGCTCCAAAAAAAAGATCATGTTTTTTTTACATATTTTCAAATACAAAAAAAAAAAAAAAAAAAAAAAAAAAAAAAACAGATCAAAGTTTTTTTTTTTTTTAACTTTTTCAATGTAAAAAAAAAGAAAAAAAATCTACTTTTTTCTACGTTTGGACAGTTTTAAAAAACCCTTTCAGGGTCCGTCCGTAAACTACGGCTTTACATTCCGGGTCCAAACCGTAGATCTACGCCATGGCTCACTCACTCTGATAAACTGTGAGTGGTACATTTTTGGGCCAGATATGAGGAATACATTTTATGTGGGATGTGTGCCCAACCACAAAAAAAGATCCTCGCACACTGGTTTTAATGAGAGAAAAAAAATGAAATCTGATTTTTGATTAAAAAAGCAAATTTGCATGTTTTTCGTATGTTTTTTTTTAGTTGTATTTTTATTTTTTTGGTCTCATTTGATAGAATGGGAAAACATTTTACAGAAATAGAGATGATTTTGATTGGTTTTAGCCTGGAAAGGGCTTAAAACTAGCTCAAAGAGCAAAATTTAAATTTTTGCCGATATTCAAGAGTAAACAAACACCTCACACGTCTAATACACGCCAGCGGTGGGTCAAAATTACATTCACAAATTGGTGATGAAAATTATAAAATTTATTACAGTTTTGCATAACAGAAAATCTTCTTTTTTTTGGGTGTGAAAAAAAATTTCTTAGTGAAAAAAAAATAAAAAGGGAATTTATTTGTAAAGCCAAAAAACATAACAATGAAAAGGAAATGTTAGTTTAGTGCCAGGAATACCTACATTTTTCCCTTCGGCCCCTATTTTAAAATTGGGAATATTTTGAACTTTGTTTTTAAATTGGCCAAATTAAAATTTTCCGATCATTTTATTTTGAAAAACATTTGACTTGGCGATTTCTTGTGCTAAATCGATAAAATGAATAATACTGGAAAATACTAGAATTGTTGATTGGAAAAATGTAATTGGCCAAAAAATGGAGTCAACGTGGGAAAAACATCGCCGATTCGTAAATATCGTGACACATCAAATTCGGAAGCAAATTTTTAAATTTTCCACCAAATTTTTTACTTTTGTTTTATTAAAACCCTTTACAAAAAGATTCTCTACGATTTCATAAAAAAAATAAAATTTTTTTTTGAAAATTTTTGACAATGGTGCGTGACTCCCGTTTGGGCCTTGGGCCCTGAAAGGTTTTAAGGGGTTTAAAATGGTTTTTTTGAAATTCTGGGGTGCGAATTCTAATTGAATTTTTTTAGCTAAAACATGTACAGCTTGTGAAACAGATATCACAGGAAAGTTTCACCCAAATAGTAACATGAGAAGAGTATTAGGGGGGTCTGACATCTTTTCACGGGCGACTGCGCTAACACTGGGGTCGAGACCAAAATAAATACAAGCAAAAAAAGCCTAAAAAAATGTGATGTAAATAGTTTCTATGACGGAAATTTCTGTTTGTTTTGTTAGAAATATTTATACAACAAAACATTTTAAAATTTCATAAATATAATCCTTTTATTGTTAGGAATATAATCATGTCATTTTTTCAACTTTAACCCTTAAACCCTTTTTAGGGCCGTCCCTAGATCTCGGCTTTCGTTTAGGGCCAAACCGTAGAAGTCATGAGCTCGCTCACTCTGTAAACTTTGGGGGTGTAAATTTGGCCTAGATATGAAGAATACATCTATTGGTATTTTGCACCACAAAAACAAACCTGCAGCACAAAGTTAATGAGAGAAAAAAAACCCGGGCTGTATTTTCGATTAAAAAAAGCACTTTTAGTGTTTTTTTTTGATTTTTTTATAGTTGTATTTGTGATTTCTTGGTCTCATTTAATAGAATGGAAGACATATCACAGAAATAGAGATAATTTTGATTGGTGTTAGCACTGGAAATGGCTTGAAACTGAGCTCAAAGTGGTGGAAATTTTAAAAATTTTTACCGATGTTCAAGAGTAAACAAACGACCTCACACTCTTATAACACGCCAGCTGGTGGGTCTAATAATACATTCACAAATGTGGTGATGATATTTATACAATTATTACAATATTGCATAAAAGTAAATCTCTATTTTTTGGTGTGAATAAAAATTCATTATGTGAATAAAAATTCAAAATGGAATTTATTTGTGAAGCCTCAAAACATAACTAATGAACAGAGAAAATGTTAGTTTTTGTGCCAGGAATACCTACATTTGTTTATTCTGGACCCTATTTTGAAATTGGAATATTTTGAACTTTGTGTTAAATTGGCCAAATTAAACCCAAATTTTCCCGGGCACTTTATTTTGTAGTTGAAATGGTTGACTTGGCGATTTTTTTGTGCTCAATCGATAGAATAGAAGTAATACTAGTGAAATAGCTAAGAATTTGGTCGACTGGAATAATGTAATTGGCCTAAAATGGGAGTTAAAGTCAGCAAAATCGCCGATTCGTAAATATCGCTGACACATAAAAATTCACGAGAGCATAATTTCGTCAATTTTCCATCAAATTTCGTACTTTTTGTTTTATTACCTTCACAAAAAAATTCTCAAACCATTTCATAAGAAAAAATAACAATTTTTTTTTTTGAAAATTCTTGGGACACTGGGGCACCACTTAAATTTTGGCCTTGGACCCTAAAAGGGGTTAAAACTGTCCAAGCAGATCTACGTTCACATGCATAGTGCTGAAAAAAGTAGATCTACGTTTTTTTACATTTTTTTTAAATATAACAAAAAAAATACGTAGATCAAAGTTTTTTTTACATGTTTTCAAATATATATAAAAAAAAAAAATCTACTTTTTTACAGCCTTTAAAATGTCGAAAAAACGTAGATCTAAGTTTGGACAGTTTAGGGTTAAATTTGGGGAAAATACCCCCCCCCCTAAAAAAAAAAATCCTGTGTTATGGGAAGATTTTGAAAAAAAAAAAAAAAAAATTCCTTTTAGAACGAAAAAATATTATTTTTCTTAATCAAAGACTAAAAAAGAGTGGAATCTGATAAAACTTACAATATTATGTAGTGATGAAGTTGGTGAAAAAATGATGAGTCATTGACAACAGAAGAGTAAAAGCACCAACAAAAATTTTTGTTTTTCTATAGTTGATTGTTTTTTCCACTTTTTAATTGCTTTTAATGTTTAACCCTAAACGGGCCAAAGAAAATTCAACGTTCAAATTCGAAGTGCTACAAAAGTAGATCTACTTTTTTTAAAACATTTTCAAAAATATAAAAAAAAAAATGTAGATAAAAGTTTTTTTTACACATTTTCAATGTAAAACAAAAAAGAAGATCTACATTTTTTACATAAATTTCAGATGTTGAAAAAACGTATATATACATTTGGACCATTTAAAGGTTAATAACACTATGTACACCAGTTTCTTATAATATCAGATGTGTTTCAAGGTATTTTAGCACTTCAAATGGGGGAAAGTTTAGCCCACATCCCACCCCTTGGTATATATGTGTAATATATTTTTTTTTTTTTTTTTTTTTAACTATTTTCGTCTTCTAAGCTATGCACAAGGAACACCTATAATATTATAACTTTTTCAGAGTGTAATATTCCTCAAAACATGGAACTAATTCACACTGCTAGATTTTACTGAGTTAACCTGGGTCAAATACACTTAAGTGTCCTTTATGCTAATTCCACTGTTAATATCACGAAATTGTAATAAACGTGGAATGAATAGGTCAATTTTGTACCACTTGCACACACTGTTTGCTGATAGGGATGCTGGTGGTGGAACAAGTGCTCCTGCTTTCACTGTTTATCTTTGGTAGTTAGGCGTACTAATACATTGAGTAGTTAACCATGATACAATGTGTAGACCATCCAGACCTTAATTTTTTTTTTAAATGTATGAATATACTGAAGAAGACCCAAGAGTTGTGCTGAGGTCAAAAATACTGGCAGGTGGCAGATATGACGGTAAGAAAAATTATGCATGCTAGTATGCCGGACACAGACACAGCATTTGCATATTAGTAAGTCAGACATAGTATAAGGGTTAAATAGCCAAAATATGTAATCAGAGACTAAACAAGCTCCAATTCATGACTAGCTCCTCAAAGTTATCCTAAAACAATGAATTTGGTTTCTGAATTGGATAAAAAGTTAAAATTTGTTGGCTAGTGTAATTTTCCCCTAAATTTATGGCCATTATAAAAATCTTACCTCACTCTCCTTATTTGTACTATTATATGTACTTCTTTCAAATGTAGACACTCCCTCCAGAGAAGCTGCCAATGCATCTAACTCAGCCTGAAACATTGTAATAAATTAATATAATGAAAGTAATGAGTTCACAGTTTGGCAATTACGCTGTAATCTCATCAAATCCTAATATTTTCAAACCATCATACCCAACATTTACTGTACTGCATATAAATAATCAATGATTCTACTTTTTTGAGTGTTACAGTCACAGTTAAATTTCACTCACTGATCTTGAAGTACAATATAATTAAATATTAACACAACATGACACAAATACTGAAATGTTATTAATTTAAAACTTTCACTTTTTCCCCACTATTTAAGTCAGTTTATTATTATTATTATTATATTCTTCAGGTGTAATTTATATTCTGTAACCAGCTTTAAGAAACTGAAATACAGTATTCTGAAATTCTAAGCTGTACTTTTTATGTGAGAAGAATATGCCTTTCCTGTACATTATTTTTTAAAGCTCACATTGGTATTTGTATTAGTGCATATTGGCTAATTTTGGTGATATTGGTATCAACTTCAACTGAATATCAGTATTGACAAAAAATGTTATATCCCATCCCTACTTAGATATATCATGAACACATAAGTATCCGAATTTCAGGTGCACAGAAAACTAAATATTTAGTGGGTTTCAACTGGTTACTTGCTATACCATTAGCATTTTGGACTGGCTTAAGATGAACCAGCTTCATATATTTGAAGACACTTACAAATACCCAATATGATTTGCAGCAACACAGAGGGGAAAAAAATCCTTTCCTATTATGCATTTATAGTTCCCGTCATCCAATTAAAATTACAAATTGCTATAATAATTGCTCACCTCAATGGTGCTGACAGGCTCCTTAGCTGCTCTCTGCTTGTCATGAGCACCAGATGCAAGAGTGATATTTGGATTTGTGGAGTTTGTAGCCATAGTTAGATTCACCTGAGACTGGTAAGTGCCATTATTTTCCTGAACTTTTGCTTTAACACACACATTTGTTGTTTGCCCCATTATGTCAATGTCAACCTCAATTTTTGGAATAGGTAGTTCAACTGGCATGATAGGTGTTCGCCAGTAGTTGAAAGTGTTAAAAGCAGGATTATTGTCCAAGTGAACATGGAGGTGACCCTCAGTGCCTGATACAGTCAATGAATTACTCTGTGACTGAACACCATTCATGGGGCTAGGAAGTGTGTTTGGAGGTGTGGCACTTACTGGGCTATGTACACTTTTATCTGGCTCATTAGTAACAATATGTGAATCACTAGTGTGTTGAGAAGTCACTGCTGATGGTTGTGAGGTACTGACTACAGGCTTGACCTGACTCTCTGGTGGCTTAGGATGAACACTGCATGACAAGTAAACTTCTGCCCTTTTCTCCTCGGCACTTTGGTCTTTATTTACATTAACTAGAGGAACTTTACTATCACTCATATTGAAAGATTCCTCCACTTCCATTGGTTCTGCCTCCAATTTGCTTACTTGAAATTTCCCTCCACCTTCATCACATACACCTGCCTCTTCATTTTGATAACTTTCTTGTTTTTCACTATGTGAGATGTGAACATGTGCTGCTGTGTTTTCTTGTTCAAGCTGGTCATCTTCACTGTTACTGTCTCCTCTATCTGCTATTACTACTGTATCAGCATTCAACCTGCAAGTAATATGTCTCAATAAAAACTTAAATAATACCTATGTGCAGAACACAGATATGGCATATCCACTTATGACTAATTTTAGCAAGAAATGGTTTTTGAGATACAGCAGACCATCAATTATGACAGTAATTACCATATTTTATGGCACCAAAGATGCTTCCCATCCCCCAAAAATAAGTCTTGAAAATTTACCTAGCATCTTGGAGGCAGAAAGTTACGCTGCTCATAGGCCTCAACCTAAGCCTAAAGAAGTGTTTCAATAATAGACAGTAATCTAAGCTCCTGAATATGACCAAAAAATGAATCGTGTAAATTATTTTAAATAAAATAATAACAAAAATAATCATAACCTTAAAAATTGATTGGCGCTTAGTACCAGTAGACTAAGGTAACCCAGACGATGGAGTTGGAAGAACTACTGGTAGTATCAGTAGGCTAATTCACCTGTTTACCATCAAACCACCCAGTAATAATATTTTTACTCACCTCAAACGATCCTGATATTAATCCTTCAAGGGGCTGTGCCTCAGTACTATGGCTTTGAGCTCAGGGTCTGTGCCTTAGTACTATGGCTTTGAGCTCAGGGTCTGTGCCTTAGTACTATGGCTTTGAGTTCAGGGTCTGTGCCTCAGTAACTATGGTTTGAGCTCAGGGTCTGTGCCTTAGTACTATGGCTTTGAGCTCAGGGTCTGTGCCTTAGTACTATGGCTTTGAGCTCAGGGTCTGTGCCTTAGTACTATGGCTTTGAGCTCAGGGTCTGTGCCTTAGTACTATGGCTTTGAGCTCAGGGTCTGTGCCTTAGTCATGGCTTTGAGTTCGGGCTGTGCCTCAGTACTATGGCTTTGAGCTCAGGGTCTGTGCCTTAGTACTATGGCTTTGAGCTCAGGGTCTGTGCCTTAGTACTATGGCTTTGAGTTCAGGGTCTGTGCCTCAGTACTATGGTTTTGAGGTCAGGTCTGTGGGCCCTTAGTACTATGGCTTTGAGTCAGGGTCTGTGCCTTAGTAAATATAGGGTTTGAGTTCAGGGTCTGTGCCTCAGTACTATGGTTTTGAGGTCAGGGTCTGTGCCTCAGTACTATGGTTTTGAGTTCAGGATCTGTGCCTTAGTACTATGGCTTTGAGTTCAGGGTCTGTGCCTCAGTACTATAGCTTTGAGCTCAGGGTCTGTGCCTTAGTACTATGGCTTTGAGCTCAGGGTCTGTGCCTTAGTACTATGGCTTTGAACTCAGGGTCTGTGCCTAAGTACTATAGCTTTGAGCTCAGGGTCTGTGCCTTAGTACTATGGCTTTGAGATCAGGGTCTGTGCCTCAGTACTATGGTTTTGAGTTCAGGATCTGTGCCTTAGTACTATGGCTTTGAGTTCAGGGTCTGTGCCTTAGTACTATAGGGTTTGAGCTTCAGGGTCTGTGCCTCAGTACTATAGCTTTGATTTCAGGGTCTGTGCCTCAGTACTATGGCTTTGAGTTCAGGTCTGTGCCTAGTACTATAGCTTTGAGCTCAGGATCTGTGCCTCAGTACTATAGGCTTTGAGCTCAGGTCTGTGCCTTAGTACTATGGCTTTGAGTCAGGGTCTGTGCCTAGTACTATGGCTTTGAGTTTCAGGGTCAGTGAATAGTACTATGGCTTTGAGCTCAGGTCTGTGCCTTAGTACTATGGCTTTGAGTTCAGGGTCTGTGCCTTAGTACTATGGCTTTGAGTTCAGGGTCTGTGCCTTAGTACTATGGCTTTGAGCTCAGTGTCTGTGCCTTAGTACTAGGGCTTTGAGTTCAGGGTCTGTGCCTTAGTACTATGGCTTTGAGCTCAGGGTCTGTGCCTTAGTACTATGGCTTTGAGTTCAGGGTCTGTGCCTTAGTACTATGGCTTTGAGCTCAGGGTCTGTGCCTCAGTACTATGGCTTTGAGCTCAAGGTCTGTGCCTTAGTACTATGGCTTTGAGTTCAGGGTCTGTGCCTTAGTACTATGGCTTTGAGCTCAGGGTCTGTGCCTTAGTACTATGGCTTTGAGCTCAGGGTCTGTGCCTTAGTACTATGGCTTTGAGCTCAGGGTCTGTGCCTCAGTACTATGGCTTTGAGCTCAGGGTCTGTGCCTTAGTACTATGGCTTTGAGCTCAGGGTCTGTGGCTTAGTACTATGGCTTTGAGCTCAGGGTCTGTGCCTTAGTACTATGGCTTTGAGCTCAGGGTCTGTGCCTTAGTACTATGGCTTTGAGCTCAGGGTCTGTGGCTTAGTACTATGGCTTTGAGCTCAGGGTCTGTGCCTCAGTACTATGGCTTTGAGCTCAGGGTCTGTGGCTTAGTACTATGGCTTTGAGCTCAGGGTCTGTGCCTCAGTACTATGGCTTTGAGCTCAAGGTCTGTGCTTCAGTACTATGGCTTTGAGCTCAGGGTCTGTGCCTCAGTACTATGGCTTTGAGCTCAGGGTCTGTGCTTCAGTACTATGGCTTTGAGCTCAGGGTCTGTGCCTCAGTACTATGGCTTTGAGCTCAAGGTCTGTGCTTCAGTACTATGGCTTTGAGCTCAGGGTCTGTGCCTCAGTACTATGGCTTTGAGCTCAGGATGTGTGCCTTAGTACTATGGCTTTGGCAGTTTTCCCCAAAGGGGTCCTGTGCCTTAGTACTATGGCTTTGAGCTCAGGGTCTGTGCCTCAGTGCCATGAGGAAATTACTTTTTTTTTTTTTTTTACACAGGGTTTGACAAGGTTAAGGATCCCTAGCTTTATTGACAGCTATTTACAGGTTAAGGATTCCTAACTTTATTGGCAAGCTAAGAGCTGTTACCTACATCAGCTCATTTGAAAGCATTTTTATTGTTATGAGACATACAAGTAGGAAACAGGATGAAGTTGGAGCCATCTGTGGGCCAGCATTTTCATTTGATCAACTATCTCGTTGAAATCATTATGCTGTACGAATGTGTTCCATACTCTAGTCATCCTGGGTATGTATGATCTCAGATGGAGTGATGTTCTGGAGAAGGGTACAGCCAGAGTGAAGTTGCTGCTTTCTGCCCGTCTTGTGGCATAAAAGCTTGTTTCACGCTGTCCTCGAAGTGGATCCAAGTGTGGTATTTTGACAATATTGGCCTTGTACATAACAGTAAGGCCACCCACATCCCTCCTATGTTGAAGGCTCTGCTGAAATGACAGATCTATCCAGGATGGGTCCAGGCGAGAGATGAGACGTCTTGCTCTGTTTTTCTACTCTGTCAAGCAGTCGCAGATGAGAGGGGGGGCAGGCAAACCAAGAAACTGGAGCATACTCAAGGTGCGAGTGTACTTGTCCTCGTACAGGATCTTGCAACCCCTACTGTCAAGCAGATGGGAGATACAGCGAAGTGCTGTAAGCTTCCGGGCTGCCTTGTTTGCAAGATTTACAACGGGGTTCTTCAGGGTTATTTGGGAGTAAAAAATTTTCACCCCAAGGATATCAACCCCTTCTCCAGGGGGCCAAAAATCCCCCCATTCATCCTTACTACTGCACCAGCTTTAAACCATAAAGGTGCCAAAGGGGACAAACCCATCATTTGCTTTTTCCCCCAGGTGCAAATGTTCCCTTGCCACCCTTTTTTCCCCAAGCTGATATACCCTCCCCACGGGGAATTGATTAGTTTGGGAGCACTGGCATTTCTTCTTTTGGAAAGTAAAATGTCATTGTACAGTCGCTGCATATGAAAGTGACCCCCTGGGATAAATGAAGAAGGTCTTTTGAAGTAGACATTCCTTAAAAATTGGACCCAGCACCTTTCCCTTTTGGGAACCTTCCCCCAAAATGGGAAACCCTTGCGTTTCCCGTTCCATTGAGAACTCAACTTAGAGACCTACCCATGAAGGTAGTCACGGGAGGAGACATAGCGAAGAGCCTGAAATTTCCCCCAGTGCTTGAATTTTTGGCTAAGACCCCTGGTCCCAAACCCCCGGGTCGAAAGCCCCCAGAAATGCCTTGCTACCACACAGTTTGTTTTTGGGATTAAATCCATTGACTGGTGCCACTTAGGGGAAGGGGTTTTAAAAAACAAAATCAGCACAAGAAAAACCTTTCCTGAACCATTTTGGGCGATAAACAAAGTAGGAGGGTAGCCCAAAAAAAACTCGTCATTTGTTTTTGAGATTATTGTCTCAAGGATTTTAAACCAGTGATTGACGGGGTGACACGGGTCTGTATTGCGGGAAATTTCTGCTCTGCTCTTTTTTTTTTGTGAACGGGGAACACATTCGCCTCTTTCCAAAGGGGGCCCCATTTAAAACCAACCTGGGCCCAAGTGCTAAAAGGGGGAAATGGGGGGGGTTAAAAGGTGCTGCTAGCGGTCTGCACATCTTCTCAAATTTTTGGACTAAAAACTTGTCTGGGCCCACAGCCTTTTTTTGGTCAAAATGATTAAATTGGGAAATGCACCTCCTCCTCCCTTTATTGTCACCACTGACATTTTTTGACACGTTTTTTGCAGCTACCCAAAGGGAGGGTCCCTTGCGGATCGGGAAAATTTGGGCCTTTTTGGGTTAGCAAAGTGTTCAGCAAAGAGGTCCGCCTTCTCTTGACTACTAGAAAGGGTGTCCCATCCGGGTCGATTTAAAAGGGGGAAATAAGTTCATCAGGCAGAAAACCCTTTGGGCCCTTGCCCCTTGACCAGGGACCACCGGGTTTTGGGAGCCTACCCTCCTATGCTAATTTTCTTTTATTTGTCCCCCCCCATTTAGAAAGGGCTCATTTTTGAACATAAACCCATAATCCCTACAGGCTTGCATGTGAAAGTTCCTGTTATAGGGGTTGGGAAATTTTCTTTTATACCTTCGCCATCTTTGTACTTGGGCAGTACCCAACCCTCTTTTAAACAACAAAAACCCAAAACCCAAAGGGCTGATCTGTAGGTTTCGCCCACATATTGCCGGTGAGGTGTGTTTCTTTTTTTGGGGGGGGGTTTAAGGAGGGTTTTCCAGTGAAGGTTTTCCTTTTGGTTGTCAACACCCCCCTTGGAGAAGAGCATTCCATTGGGTGGTGGTGAC